CGGGAAACTGAGGCTGGGAGGGGGCGAGAGGTCGCCGCGGGCAGGGCCCCCTGGTTTTCCAGCGCTCGTGCCTCCTTGCCGTTGGGGTGAGGTTCCTGATTTTTCAGCAGCTCCCCAGGGGCCGGGAATTCGTGCCCGAGGAAGAAGTGGGGCGGCCGCTGGCCTCCCTGCAGAGCCGGCCCCCTGGGGCTGCTTCCCGCTGGCGGGCGGGCCGCGGGGTCGCCTCGAGGCTGGAAACACTTAGAATCGTGTCCTGCTTCCCCGGGGCCTTCCAAGGGACCGAGCGGGGAGGTCCGGGGGGGAAGGACCTCCTCGCCGGAGCCACTTGTTAAAGTTTATTCACGTGAAGTAGTCCTTGTACAGGTAGTTACCTAGGTTGCTCGTTTTTGGAGCCAGCTCTTGATGACTTATCTCTGTGCACGTCTCCACCCAGCGAGGTCCCCAGGGTGACATCTGCGTGGGGCTCTGGCTGCCCAAGAAACTCTATCCGTAGCTTGATGTCCTGCTTCCTCCTCGGAGTTTAGGTTAAGGAGGCCCCAGCCGCCCAGTGTTGGTTCCACGTGATGAGTTACATGTCTGTGCTTGTGTCAGGGTGTTGTGTTAACACGATGCTGAGTGTCCTCCCCACGTGAACTTCCAGTTATGGTAACTGCTCGCCAGGATGGTTCTGTAGCCGCCCCGCTGCTGACTTGGCCCTGGTGATTCTCATCCAGGCGGAGGGGCCGTTTTGGCCACTTTCTTGGTTTTCTTCTGACCCAGTTGATGGGGTTTCTTTTTCTTTCTTTATGTTTATTTATTTATTTTTTCCCCCCATCACCATTTATTCCCTTATACCCTCTTCCACCCCCCACCCCCCATCACCACACTATTCCGTGTGGTTTCACCCTCTGGATAACCACGGGACAGCACTAGGCTAGAAGGCTGGGGGCTCAGTGGGCATCTGGACTTGAAAGTCAGGCCACGAGATGCTGTGCCCTCCCCCACCCAGGAAGGAAGCTCCTCGAGGGTAGGTTTGCATCCACATGTCCGGGCTCTTAATGGGCCCCAAATAAATGTATGGGTTAATGGAATATATGGAGATAGATTGACAGTCCGGGACTGCAGGGAGATGGCGTGCCACCTGCCAGGCAGGCAGGGGGTCTGGGGGCACACCCATGAGGCATTATTTAACTCACTGATGGTAGGGACTTATATAACTATTATAATGTTGTTTTATGGACAGGAACAGGAAATAAGAGTGTTTGATGGATCCACAGATGCTTGCTGCTGAGTCTCAGGAGCACTGGGGGTCAATTAGGCAGCTGGTTCAATATGATGGTAATTATTGTGTTTCTGATATTTAGTATTCCAATCGGTATTGAGATGGATTGTTTGGGAATTTTCAGGCATTATCCTACTTCAGATTGAGATTTTATCCCACTCTGCAGTCTCTCCAGGTGTGGAGGCTCTCACCCCAGGGGAGTTTCACATAAATCGGGCCTGAGAGCTGAGCTGTCAGGAAGTACTCCCACCTCCGAGCTCTCCACCAGAGGCCTGAGGGAGCAGAGGGAATTCCAGGCTGTGCCTCTGAATGTCACCCTGGAAACCAGTCCCTGAATGTGCTGCTGTGAGGCAGGGTGTGTCTGAGCTCATGTTTGGGCTCCTGGGGTTCCCTGGTGCGTGCTAACATGGCATCCCTTTTCCCTCCTCCCTCCCTCTCCTGGGCGATGTTGCTTTATTAAGGAGGGTTATTACCATCACTCCGAAAGAAGTTAACGCCATTGTTGTCACTGCCCCTTTGGTTTTACACAAATGGGGATCCCCGTGGTGGTGTCCAGCCTCCCTGGCCTGGGACACAGGAAGGGACAAAGGGAACCATCCTGTGTGAGCTCCATAGGTACTTAATGATTTTAAGAAAATGACCCATGGTGTGCTGGAGTAGTGTTTGTGTCTAGCAAACATTCCGTGGCATTGCAGTCCACAACGTGACACCTGCTAGGACCCAGGTCACGTGAACTTGTATCTTCAAATGACAAGGCACAGCAAGTGTCTGAGAAACTCCAATTCTGTTCTGGGGGGGAAGCAGGCTTGGGAGGTGTCAGAGCCTCCCTAACATGGGCTTTGTGGGGTCTTTGGGCGGTACCCTGGTTTGCTCATGCTGCTGAGAACAGAGGCCGAGTGAAGCCACCTTGCGTCGTGTGGGTGACTCCCGCACGCACGTTTTGCTCCTGGCGTGCCGGTGATGTGCTGTGGAGTACAGCTTTTTCAGGAACCAGTATGAGGATTGTTTTGGGAAATTGTGGTTTATAGAGTATATTCTGAACTTGTTGAGTCAACTGGCTTGCATAGTGGAATTAGAAGCAGCACACCTAGTATTTCTGGGAGCAGAGCCACTGTCGAATTCTAGGGAAGAGGCGAGTGGCTCTATGCGCTGTCTTACGGTGGGGGTGTATCTTACTATAAACTGACCCTCCCCCGCCCACCTTGCCAGTTTTGAGGGCATGTATGGTGGCCCCTGAGGCCTCCACGATCCCTTCCTCTGTTTCAACGTTGTTAGATAACTGAAAATTCTAGTGACTCTTAAATGCTGGGCTGAGAGGTGAAGTACATGCCGAGATTTTCTTCTTTTCTGGTCAGCAGTTTGTGCTGCTGTCTGAGCCCCTGTAGTGACCAAGGAAGGTGACGAGGAAACTTCCCGTGGGGTCTGTCCAGCTTCACATGGGGAAGGCCACCAGGACCCCGGGCTGGGGCTCGTTCTGAGTGTTGCTGCAGTACCCTCCTGCCTGGACGGTGCTCCCACCCTCGGCCATGCAGCTGGCAGGTGCTCAGAGCACCCAGGGAACAGAGCCTGGCTGCTGCTTTCTGTTGCTCATATTCCACCATCTGACTGGGGAAGCAACAGGGCAAGGAGATGTTCCCTCTGTTTGGAGCTGAAGGGTGTCTGCCCTGGCTGCAGAGATGTCTGTGGGTCTTACCTGGAGTGTTCAGGTGTACCCCTCTCTGCTCAGCCTGGGTTCTGGCTCATGGGAAGGGCCACAGTTGGCTAGGTGGGTGCTGTGTCTGGTGTGATGGGTGCCACTTTGGTGGTGCAGGTGAGCAGCTCGTACATGAACATGCCACCCAGCACAGCGTGCTCCCAAACCTCCACGCCTGGGGTGTCAGTGTTCGCTCGCTCCTCCGAATGATGAGCTGCCCAGCAATCAGAAAGCAGGAGAGAGCAGAACTCGTCATCCGGGGGTGGTGATGCACATGCCACCATGGACAGCGCGTGCTGTTTGCAGAGGCCCTGGTGGGGAAGACAAGCAGGGTCTAGCAAAGGATGGCAGAGGTCTGGGGGCTGCAGATTCAGGGTGCGGGAGGGCAAGGGATGCGTGTGCATCAGGGTGCACTGCTGGTTCTATCTTGTTCCTTTGCTGCCCCCAGTGCCTTCCACGTTGGGCAAGGTCTTCAGTGTTTCCCGTCCCTTGCCATGTTCCATGGCTCCAGGCACTGGTCAGTGAGATGCACTGTGTGTCTGTCCCCTCCATCTTCCAGGAGAGGCCCCCAATGGCACCTGTTGCTTTGGGGTCTCTGGCTACTGCTTGGTGAGCCAGGGTTGAGCTGACTGCAGGTGTCTTTTGGGGTTTTGTGGGCATTTAGTGGTCAGGCCCCCGTTTGTTGCTCTCTGTGGACCAGTCTTCTCTCTCCACTGTCTCTCACTGCCTTTTGTGTGAGAGAGAAAAACAAGTAGACAAATTGTACTTAGAGCTTCGGATTTTCAGGACACAAAGGACCTGCTATTTTCATTTTAAAATTACTCTTCAGATCTTTCCAGACCAGAGGGAAGGGATTGGCATTGCCACTAATTACCAGCAGGGTATTTCTTGTCAGGCTGCAACCCTGTTTCAGGATCCTCGTGGGTTGGGGGAGAGATTGCTGGCCTAGGGGGTCAGGATTGTGGCATTTCATTTGGCTTCTATCATTGGCCAGAATTCCTTGATTTCATTTATGCTTTCATTTCTTACCCAGTAAGAAATGCATGAGATTCCTGGTGTGGTTTGGGGGTGCCAGGCTGTCTATTACAGTTACGATTTATTTATTTTTCTATCTCTAATTATTTGATTTTCCCCCAGTGTGCTCATGGGAGCTTAGAAGACCCCAAAAGTGTCACCCACCACAAGCTAATCCACGCTGCATCAGAGAGGGTGCTGAGTGACGCCAAGACCATCTTGGAGGAGAACATCCAGGACCACGGTAGGAGTCTCAGGGCAGCAGTGGGAGCAGCCTGCCAGAGGCCAGGCACCCTCAGCAAGTTAGTGTTCACACTGGGTCTGAGCAAGAACCCAGGTCTCCTCCCTTCACTGAAACCAGGGTGTGAGATGGGGTATTTGTGGAAACCAGGGAAGCTGAAAGTGAACAGGCAGCATCCATCTCAGCAAACACCCCTGAGCTTCATTTAAATCCTGTTTCTAAGCAAAGCGCAGGAGCTGCTGCAGGGTTCACTTCAGGCTGAGGGACGGTCTTGGCGGCTGTCCCAGGCATCTGAGAAAGGCGCTCATCCCGCACACATGTCCCTTCAGTGCTCATGGTACTCTGTCCCAAGGTGCTTGGGGAGGAAACCTTGGTTTTCTGTATCTCATTCAAAGTGTGATTTTGGTCCTGCGTTCCCTTAAATAATCTGTTTTGAAAACAGGGGAAGTGTTTACAGACCTCCATCGAGTGTGGTGGTCAAGATCAGAGCCAGGTGGGAGCCTACCCCACTGTGGGCTGTGGCTGACCACGCCTCCAGCCTCACAGACTTCCAAATGGCCCATTAAGAGAAAACTTTGTAAGATTTCCACCAGTTTTCTGCATGTTGTCAGGGCTGAGCTATGTGTGCCTCCTGGGCCACCAAATACCTCTGGTGATCCACAGCCGGGTTCTCACCAAGCCCGGTGCCTGCGTTTGAGCCGGGGGCGTGCAGACATGAGAACTGAGGGGAGACAGGCTGTGTGGACGCCCAGTTAGGAAGCACCCAGAGGAGCCCCTGCTTTTCTATCCTTGGGTCCCCCAGCGATTTTGTGGACATAAAACAGTAACCAGCTTGATGGACATGTTTTTTCTAGATGTCTTACCATTGATAAATTTTTTCTAGATGTCTTGTTGTTAATAAAAAAGCGTGCTCCGTCTCCACTTCCTAAGATGGCTGACGTCTCTGCAGAAGAAAAGGTGAGTCTCAACGTCTGGAATTGGAAATCTGTGTTAGTGAATGCCCCCCCCCCCACTTGAACCTTCCAGAAACAAGCGCCCTGTGTACTCATTGTTCATGGACGGGATGTGGCACAAGGGGGTTCTGTCTTGGCTGAACTGGGTGGCTGGAGCCTGTGTGGTTGCTGGTCATGTGACCGGTTCTGGAACACCTGGCTCCGTGTCTGGGCTGGAGCGGGGAAGGGGGGAGTGGGGGGGTTCTCATGGTAGGGCCTGCGTGTTGCACCCCTGGGAAGCTCACCGGGTGCCCTGAACCTGTGCTGACAGAAAGCTCAGGACATCACTGATGCCATCCCCACACAAGGAGGACACGAGGGAGTGGGGGCACATTCTTCTCACCCCGGAGGAATGGGGGCTTGTCGGCTTGCACTGCCTGAGTTCCTGCAGGGCCCTGCCGCAGTCTGATCTGCCCCTTGGGGGACAGTCTGGGGTCCCTGGGATCCGTGTGCACCTTTGCCTTCCCTCGGAAGCCTTGGTGTTCGCTCATGTATCAGCCACCCAAAGGCTGAGGGTAGAAGGCTTTGTGCACAGTGGTTGCTGTCCATAGGCCTGTATTTGGTCTTACGTCAGGTCCTGTGCCTGGGCCCCGGCCAAGTGCTGTTTTAAAGGGGCAGCCGGGCAGCCACATTAATTTCACCACTTTTCCTTTCTTCAGAGATGTTTTTTATTCATGCTCTGAATTGCTAGGGAGAGTGTTCACCCAGAGACAGCAGCCCGACTCGGCTGGGCATGGGCTGAGGGCATGGCGCTGCCTCAGGGTCTCCTCTGGGACAAGCAGCAAGGGAGGGTTCTTTTGGGTGCCTTCTTATCTACCACTACAGCCGGCCCCAGCACAAACTGCTCAGCCCATCTCGGGGGGACACCTGGGCCTGCCTCAGCCGCCTCGTGAGTCTGGGCACTTCTGAGAGCTGTGGGGTCAGACAGCCTTTCTCTGCCTCCACCAGGCTCTCTGTCACTTGCAGCACCCTTTTCTCTGCACGTATTTGCAGATTGAATGTTGTGAGATGTTCACATGTTCTGTGAATTATTAATTTTGAGTGAAAGTAACACATATTTAAAAAGCTGAGTAATACTATATGTCTTTAATAAGAATGGGTAGCCTCCTATCCCACCTGCATCCCTCCCTGTGAGAAGCCCTAGAAGGCTCACAGGCTGCTCTCTGCCTGGCGGTGGTGCCTCTGGTGGCTTCACTGTGGGTCCTTGACCTTCACCTGGGTGGGGGTGGGAGGGTCAGAAGGAGCAAAAGGTGAGTGTGTGTTTCCAGCTGGCTGGGCAGGACTGCAGGTCTGTGGTTCCTCTGAGGTTGGCCAAGCCCCAGCCCAGCTGCAGCTCCCGCTCATGGTCATTCTGTGGCACGAGAGACAGTGTCCGTGCTGCTCTCGTCCTGCGTGGCCACCTTCTAGGTAGGAGGTGGGGCTGCGTCCTGAGCATCACCTCTCTGTTCGCGAGGGGTGCACAGAACCCTCCCCACACCCAGCTCCCGGAGAGAACTGACTCGACCCCGGTCAGCGCTCTGGTTGCTCCACTTACATAACTGCTGATTCTAGCTGTCTCGTTAATTTTCCTGGCTCTGATTACGTTTCTGTGTAGAAAAAGCAAGACCAGAAAGCCCCAGACAAAGACGCAATCGTCCGAGCCACCGCCAGCCTGCCCTCCTGCAACATGGACCGGGCCGTGGTCCAGACCAGCATGAGAGACGTGAGTGCTGCTGAGGCCCTTCTAGCCACCACCACTGCCTGGCGTGGGGGGTGTGGGGAGGAGGTGGCCCTCATCGCCACTGGACGGGGGTACTCACCACTGTGGGCTGGCTCAGAAGTTCCTAAAAGTACTGGGGAGCTGGGTGACAGGGACGCTGGAATTCGGTGTACTTTTTGCAACTTTTCTATAAACCTAATATTTCTTCGAGGGAAAGTTTTAGAAGACATCCAAAGACAGGATAGATGCTTAAATGTCAGGGCTGTGTCCTGAGTTTGGCAGACACCTCGATAGAGATCTGATAGGACTCTTGGTTACTTTGCTTTGGAAAGTTGTAAGTGAAGGAGAAGTGCTTTCCCAGGGCTCCTGTAGACCGTCCCAGCACTACCACGAGCCCCACTCCACTGTAGCAGGGAGCCTCTTTCGGAGCCTTCTCCAGAGGGTTCCATGGTGACCAGGGCGGTGACCACTGGCACTGTGTCTCTCCTGGCCTGTGTGTGTGTTTGCGCCACGTGGTCTCTCACATAATGGCTGAGGCTTGTGGGATAGGGGACAACTGGTTCCCAGTGCCATCCATGGTACCAGTGGAGCGATGTCCTCTATGTTCTCTCTGTCACCAGCCTCGAGGCTACGTGCACAGCTCTGTGCTGACAGCCCCTCCCCCTCTGCCCAGAGCTCCCCTGAGATGCCCCCTCTTCCTCTCACCAGCTTACGTCAGTTCCTGATGGTCTTGAGTGAGAGCAGCCTAGTCTCACGCACAGATTTTGGGGTTTAATGGGGAGTGTGGCTGCAGGTCCCAGCGGTCTTGTGGGCATTTGGTGGAGTGAGGCCCCTTCTCCTTCCTGTAGTTTCAGACGGAGCTCCGGAAGATCCTGCTGTCCCTCATTGAGGTGGCACAGAAGCTGCTAGCCCTGAGCCCTGGCGCGGTGGAATTGTTTACAAAGGCCAACGGTGCGTGCAAGCCCGGGGTGGCGATGCCCCAAGTTCAGCCCCGCACTCACTGCGCCTGGCGTCCCCTCCCCACAGCCCTGGAGTTGGGCAGCCTGGGCTGTGTCTGCTCTCGGGATGTGTGCTGGCGAACCCCGTGGCCCCGTCCCATTCGCACCAGTGCGAGCTGGCAGGTGTGCCTCGGGTTTTCTGAGGTTCCCCGGAATCCACAAACCCCGGGTGCTCAGACGAGGCCCTGAGCTCGCTCGTGGCGGCTGGGCCAGGCTCACTGGCCGCGTCTCTCCCACAGCGATGCTGGACGAGGACGGGGAGGAGCGCGTGGACGAGGCGGCGCTGAGGCAGCTCACGGAGATGGGCTTCCCCGAAGGCAGGGCGGCCAAGGCGCTGCGGCTGAGCCAGTACGTGGGGCCACCACCCTGGGCGTGGGCTCCGGCTGTGCCTGGGTCTCCCAGGAGACACCCCTCTCCCCACACTCCCTCCCTGCGTCGTCTCTAGCGCGTGAGTTATTTTAACACAAGGCCCGCAGCAGCTGGGCTGGGCGTCTGTGTCCGGGACACTGGACTCGGCTCGCTCTCGCTGGGGACGGCCAATGCTTTACGAGACTCAGGTTCAAGCCCGTTCCTAGCAGGGGCATTGGTGATCAGAGGTGGGTGCATGTTGTCTGCAACAGTCCCCTGCAGTTTCCTGTCTCTAATCACTCGTCTCCACCTCTACATTCAGACCTAAGATGGTCTGTCAGCTGAGGATGGGTGTGGCCACGTTCCATTTGCTTTGGTCTTGAACTCTCACCTGTCCCTCACTGCTGGGTTCCCTTTGCTTACAAAGTGGATCTCTGTGTTCTGGCCACGGCCTTGGGGCAGTTGGGGCAAGGGCCAAAGTGTCACAGGTGCCTGTGTGAAGACTCTCAGTGCAGGGGGTCAGCAGCTTGTGCTGGAGACATCGTCTCAGGGCCTCCTCTCGTGGGTAGGGGAACGCGAGGCCCTCACAACGCCTGGGCATGTTGGAACGTCTCTCTTTGCCTTCCAGCATGTCAGTACCTCAGGCCATGGAGTGGCTGATTGAGCATGCGGACGACCCCACCATAGACACACCTCTTCCAGGCCAAGCCTCGCCAGGCCCAGCGGGGGCTGAAGCTCCAGCTGAGGCCGCTGCCGCTTCCAGCGAAGATGAGGAGCCCAGAGATGAGCTCACCGGGATCTTCAAGAGGATCCGCAGGAAAAGGGCATTTCGGGCTGATGCTCGGGTAGGCATCACTGCGCCTCGGTCCCCCGGGCAGACCCACCGCTACTCCGTGTAGGCTTGTGCCTGAGCCTGGCCCTGACCTTGAGCGGAGCCAGCCCTGAGAAAGGGGGGGGGTGCGGCTGGGGCAGAGCTCCGCTCCCAGAGTTCAGGTGGAGTTCTCCTCTCTTGAGTCCCGGTGGCTGTCTTTTCCTGAACAGTACACATGTCACCTGCTGAACTTGCAGTAGATTCTGGTTGTGTTACCAGTGCCTGTGAGCCTCAGTGGTCCACGGAGGCACCCCCGAGGCCAGGATCCACACCGTGTGGGATTGCCTTGGGGGGGTAGCTGTGGGGTCTGCGGGAGGGAGGGACCTAAGGTCTAGGGCACCTCTGGCTGTACGTGGATGGTTCTCACTGTCCCCTCATTTCTGATGCTTTTGCAGCCCCTCTTCTTATTCCTAGCTCTGCCCCTTTATGAGGTGTCGTTTTCCCTGGACACTGCCCTCACCTGAGCCCATTCCTCTCGCACTGCAGATGCGTCAACTCCAGTCTTGTGCTCCGGCCCTGCTGGGCGCAGCTCGGTGTGAGGCTCCACCTAGGCTTGCCTGTGGCTCGTATTTCCGCAGGAATCCCATGTGGCCTGCTTGTTTGGGGCGCACCTCGGGTGACTCACAGCTGGCTCCTGTGGGTTGAGCAAGACCTGCAGCCAGGACCATCTCTGTGTAGACCATCTGTCAGGGCTTTTGGGCCACAATGTGGTCGGGTGGCCTCTCTTCTGCAGAGGCACATGCTGTGTCCAGCTCTTCTCTTGGGGATGCAGGCCCTTCTCACAGTCCTGGTTTTAAACTCCAACTCCCCACCTTGTGTGGACTCAAGGTCTTTGTCCTGTCTGTGTGGACATCAGACCCCCACCCCCAGGCCCTAACACTGTGCCCCTGCCCCTAACTAGTTTGCTGTTCCTCCTTTGTGTTTGTCACTTGAGGGTTTTCCTTACTGTGAGTCCCCTTTGCATTTGGAAGTGTGTCTGGCCCAGAAGGAGCTGTGTCTCCAGGTCACTGGGGTTGTTTCTGGTACAGGAACCTGCTTGGGATGGGTCGCCACTCTCGGGGTCCTGCGAGGTCCTGCAAAGTCCTTGTTGGGGCTGCTCCTGGTCAGGTCAGCCTTTGCTCCATCTTTACCTTTCATGCAGGTGTCCCGTCCGCACAGTCTGATCTAACACGCTCCTCTCCAAGTCCACACCTGCTCCATGCTCCCTGCCCTCCCTTTCCCTGTGTGGTGGAAACGTCCCCTGGCTGTTCCCTTTTAGAGCAGCTGTAAATGAGTTTCGGGCCTGAGGACTGGGCACCTGCCCTTCTCCTCCTGATCCGTGCCGGTCGGGAGAGCAGTCCAGTGAGGGTTTCAACGTCAGCTTAGTTCCTGGACTGGGTTAGAGAGCAGGGCTTTGCCCTGAGACCCCTCCACCCAGCTGTGGATGGGACGAGTGTGCTGTGTGCAGATGCGTAGCCCTCGGGTGCTCCCATGAGAAGTGGGGGAGCTTCCCTGGGTGTCACTGCAATTCTGTGTGACTCTGATATGTGACTTCTCCTGTCATTCAGTGACAAGCCTGGAGTTGGACTGAGAGAGCCAGGGAAGAGTTTAGGAGGAGGAGGTGCTGGCTCTGAGCTCACAGAGCCGTTGGGCTCCACAGACTCCTTCCTGAGTTCTCTTTAGAACCTCTGACACCCAGTCCAGGCCACATGCAGGAAAGGCCAGGTCTGCACGGGGCAGTGTCTGTGCCCACGGGCCCTGTGCATCAGAATTAGCCCGTTAACGGTGGTGGGAAGTCAAAGAAAGAAGACAGTAGGGACTTCAGAACAGCATGGATTGACCTTCAAAGAATTAGGGGAAGCCCTTGGAAACTTGATGAAACCTTGACCTTTTTTTAAAATGAAATTGAGCCTCTTGGGATTGTGGGGTACTAGTCAAGAGTAAAGTGAAAACACGCATCTCCCTCCAAAAAAGGGCCTATTAGCCATCGTTCCCTCTGAGGATTAGCTTGTGTTTAGCACATGAAGGCTTAAGTCTTGTTAAATATATTTAAAGATAATTTGACTTTCATTTTTTAAAGATAAAATGTGAAGAAAATCCCTTTTCACAAATTACAGTGGCATTTTGTCTGCACTGAAGCCTGGCCTTTCTCTGACACCCTCATCCTGGGCAGGGCCCCTGGTTACGCCCAAGTGGGTTGTAGATTCGGGTCTGTCCATACAACCACAGGCTAACCTGTAGGATCTGCTGCGAGTCCGGCACCTCTGGCACCGTGGAGAGTAGTGTCCCATCCCTGCTGGTCTGGTCTTGCGCAGGGCAGGCCACCCTCCCTCTCCCCAGCTTTAGTCCCTCAGTGGTTCAGGAAACCTGTGAGGAGGCAATTGTGAAATAGACCATCCTGTGGTGCTAATTTAAAGGCCCTCTGCTAAGTCATGCTCACAAACTGGGTCCGAACCACCAGGAGACTCGGGCTCCTTGGGTTTGCTGCCCTGTCCCAGTGCCCGCGGCATTAAGGGGCCTGTGGTTTCTCCTCTAGGCCGTCATTTCCCTGATGGAGATGGGGTTCGACGAGAAGGAGGTTATAGATGCCCTGAGAGTGAGCGACAACCAGCAGAGTGCTGCTGTGAGTACTGGCCGGAATCTGAGTGCATGTCATCCCGCCTCACTGGTGGGTGGCTTTCTGGGTGTGGGTGACTCACAGGCAGGCCGCTGTTGTGTTTTTGAAGTGAAACAATGGGGCGGATGGTTCAAACTGTGTGAAGTGTTTTAGATACTGAGGGGATTCTGGGCCTGCCTTTCTAAAAAAGTACAGGTTCTCTGAGTGTGTAACCTGTTTACTTTGTTAGAGCAGTTCTGAGATGGAGCCCCACTCTGTGAACACACAGCAGTGCTGATGGCACTGCCTGAGGGTGCTCAGGGCTGGTGACGCCCCTTCTGGAGGCAGAGCCAGTGTCATGTGAGACAGTGGCTGTGTGTCAGAAGTGTCTGTACTCATTAAAGAGTCATGGTGATGGTGACAGTGGGCCCAGAGGAGCTGACGGCCGCCCATCCCTCTTGCCTTGTAGTGTGAGTGGCTGCTGGGGGACCGGAAGCCCTCCCCTGAGGAGCTGGACAAGGGTATCGACCCCAACAGCCCTCTCTTTCAAGCCATCCTGGATAACCCCGTCGTGCAGCTGGGCCTCACCAACCCCAAAACACTACTTGGTACGTGTGTCTTCTTTACGCTGCCTGGTGGGACCCACCCAGAACTGCAGATGTTCCTGAGTGATAGACACCTCAGCCCACACCCAGGAGTGTCCCTGAGCACTTGGGCCCCCTTGTGTGGCTCCTGCCTGAGTCACTGTAGGACCAGAAAGTCAGGCTCTGCTCCTGGCAGACAAGCTCCTGTGTGATGACTCCACATGTCTGAAAACCAGACATAATGGGTCATCCAGGTCCAGCAGAGCGGCCGCACCCAGCTGACCAGACTGTGGGCAGAGGGCTATTTGCATTTGCTCTTGCTGACGGTGAGGGGCTTCTTTAGCATTTTTTGCCCGTGAAATATAATGTACGTACAAAGCATAACATATATATACAATTTTTGTAACTTTAAAGAATAGTAGTAAGAGTAATAAGCGTGCCCCTCCCATTTGAATTTAGAAAACACAGTATTTAGAAAGCTCAGAGTGTTTTAGGCCCTGAGCCTCTGGGCACCCTGACCGCCCTCCTCCCTCCAGAGTGCCTGCTCGTGGCTCTGCTGTCCCTGGGCGTGCTGGGCATGTGTACGTTTCCCAGGCAATTGCGTTCAGCTCCTGCTCTGTAAGTGGGCCGTGTCTGGGCACACCTGTGGCTATGTGACCTCAGTCTCCTAGAGCCAGGGCTTCCCTGAGCGAGGCACCACGGCAGCTCCATTCGCTGTCAGCAGGACCTGCGCTGCTCCCTTGCACACAGTGCTTTGGTCATTCTCATGCCTGTCCCCTGTACACAGATGAGGGTCTCTGGGCAGGTATTTAGGGCCCCAGAAGTGTGCATGGGGGCCTATGTCCCAGGAGGAGGGGTGCAGCACTCAGCACCCCGTCGATCCTCAGAGCCAGTGGCCCCAGCATGTAGGCAAGGGCACTCGCTGCCCATCAGGCCCAGGTGTCTGCATGCTCTGCCATCTGCCTAGTCTTCAAGGCTAAGCCCTCTGAAGGTCAGCCCTCCCAGGACCTCAGCTCCGAAAGGCCTTCAGCCCGACCTTTGGCCTTTTTCTCTGTTAGATTGTTTTCCGTATTTATTCAAGGAATTCCTCGCACATGCTGCACACAGGTCTTTCCTAGCTTCTGACTCCTCACTTCACTGACCAGAAACCCTGTGTTGTAATGCCGTTGACGTGTCTGTCTCATTTAGGATGTAAATCTTTTTTTTCCCTTTAAATGTATCTTTATTGATTTCAGAGAGAGGAAGGGAGAGGGAGAGAGACAGAAACATCAGTGATGAGTCATTGATCTGCTGCCTCTTGCACGCCCCCTGCTGGGGATCGGGCCTGCAACCCGGGCATGTGCCCTGACCGGGAATCAAACTGCGATCTCCTGGATCATGGGTTGATGCTCAACTGCTGAGCCATGCCAGCCAGGCTACGACATGAATTTTTAAGTGAAAACCCTGCAGTGTCAGGGTCCGAGGGTGTGTGTGGGGTGAGGTAGGGAGGGGCTTTTCTGCTTGTGCACAAATTCTGCACTTCCATGATTGGTTTTAGTGAGTTTATGTTCTGTGCTGGGCCCTGTGGCCCCTTCTGCCCTGGAGCATCCTCAGGCTCAGACTCAGCTCCTGGGGTCTTCCAGAGCCTCTTCTGGAGGGTTGTCTTTGAGGTCTTTGCCATCGAGATATGACTAGCCGTCCGTCTTTTGTAATTTTTGAAGATATATTTGGTCAGATTAAGAAAGTCTCTTCCCTCCAGTTTAGATGCTGAGTTTAGATGCATGTTGATTTTATGGCTCTCCCTGTCTGTGGCGACTAGCACATGGGTTTACTTTGTGGGGCTCCATCAGGGGACCTAAGCCATGGGCTCCATCACCTATGGCAGCACAGCAGGACATTCAAGGCGCAGGGCTGTCACCTCCAGAGCTCCTGCACCCTGCCCACCCCCCTGTGGTCTCAGAGCCACCCAGAGAGAACGCCTATCTGTGCTGTGGTCCCGCCTGGCACCTCTGTAGCCACCCGTTTCCCTCAAGCTTGTGTTTGAACTTGTCTGATGCTTTTACTTATTTATATTTATTTGTTTGCTTATTTTAAAAGATATTTTTATTGCTTTTTAGAGAGAGGGAGGGAGAAAGGGAAAGAGAGAAAAAAACGTCAATGTGAGCCCTGCCTCCTGCACGCCCCATGCTAGATCGAGCCGGCAACCTGGGCACGTGCCCTGGCTGGGAATCGAACCACCAACCTCTAGGTGCCAGGATGATGCGCAGCCAACTGAGCCACACTGGCCGCAGCTTTATTTATTTATTTTAAAACAATTATTCTATTTTTTAATCCTCACCGAGGATGTGTTTATTGATTTGAGAGAGAGGAAGGTGGGGGAGAGAGAAGAAACAGATCAGTTCCTCCCGTACCCACCCCGACTGGGGATGGGACCCACAGCCTCTTGGTGTACAGGATGATGCCTAGCCTGAGCCCCTGGCCGGTCATTTTAAGCTCTGCTGCCACCCCACAGCTGTTCCCATGGCACACAGCACGTCCTATTGGCCACTCGCATGTCTGTGTCCCGCGTGCCTCTGCGTGTCTCGTGTTTTCGTGTTGGTGCTAACCTGGGAGCTTGTTGATCGCTCGTCCTGCATGTAGAATGCCTGCCCTTGTCGCTGCAGACGCTTAATCTGCCCTTTTGTTCTGTGCGGCACTTTTCTGAAATCCACAAGGTAACATGCAGAAGAAAGCCCTTCCTCAGGTAAATATTCATCTGATGTCTTCATGTCGGACTCTTTCCGTCCTTCTGTTCAGCCCCTTCCCCTCTGGGATTATTTGCTGGTTGTGGAAGCAGCCCTGTTTCTGGAACTGCCCTTCTTACCTCGAGACGTCCACGACTGGCTGGACTTATGTTTCATTCTCCTGGTGCTAAGCTTCCTGGTTTCGCTTTCTGACTTTTTAGCTGGTTTTCAGAGGATGTTCATTAGGGGGACCCCCACTGATTGTTTTGGGGCTGACAGAGTCCTCAGGTCATACACAGAATGGCCATGGTCCCATGCGATCCTGAGTAGCTGGGAACTCCCGTGGCAAGATGCTTTCCACAGAGCCTGTGAACGAGGGCCCCGTGCCGTGTGCTGGGGGGCAGGGTTTGGAACCCATCCTTCCCTGAGCCAGGGCTGCTGTGGCTTGGAGCTTTTGCTGGAAGGCACCTGTGGTTTTTGGTAAAAGAATTTTGTAAAACTGTTTAGAAAATCTGAGTTTTTTGTGTGTTTTTTTAAAAATATATCTTTATTGATTTCAGAGAGAGGAAAGGAGAGGGAGAGAGAGAGACAGAAACATCAATGATGAGAGAGTCATTGATCAAGCCCTCAACCCAGGCATGTGCCCTGACCGGGAATCGAACCCCTGTCACCTGGATCCCAGGTTGACGCTCAACCACTGAGCCACGCCTGGCCGGGCTTAATTGCATTTTTATTGTGCTGTTTCTTTAAAGTCATGATCTTGAGATCGAACACTTTTGAGTTTTCCAATTGGATATTATCGTATTTGCAAAATGTCTTTATATGTAAGTTTTTTCCGTATCTGATTACTTTGTCAGGGCAGATTGGAGGTGGAATTACTGAGTCATGGGCCCTGACTATTTTTAAGATTCCCGATAGCTGTTGCCAAATTGCTTTCCAGAATCAGTGTGCCAGTGAGCACACGGGTAGCCACTCCCTGTAGACTGAAGACACTGTCCTCTGGCCTCAGAACTGCCGGCTTGATGAGCAGTTCAGACTTTGTGGGTGGCGGTTAGCGGGAATCTTGGGGTGACCTGGGCTGCCTGGGCCTACCTCTGCATTAAGCAGCTATAGAAAGTGTCTCCAGCGTACGTGTATGTGTTTGCGTGTGTGTGCATATATGCATGTGGAGGGTGCAGTTGCTCAGTCAGCTGGCTCTGTTCTGCCACAGCATTTGAAGACATGCTTGAGAACCCACTGAACAGCACCCAGTGGATGAACGACCCAGAGACGGGCCCGGTCATGCTGCAGATCTCCAGAATCTTCCAGACCATGAACCGCACGTAGGCCGCACCTGCACTCTCCACTACCCCAGTGGGCCACTGGGAGGGGGCAGTCCCCGATGGGCCCTCTTAATTCTCAGCCAGTTGTGGAGACAGTGTGAAGACCCCCTGGCTCCGCTGGGCTGAGGAGGGGACAGGGCCCAGGGCTGGAGGGGATCCTGTCTGGACCCCATCCCAAGCCTGGCCTGGTGTCCCGCTTCATCTTACCACTTAGACTTCTGTGCCTCTGTGTGCCCGGCGCAGCCCAGCCTCCGACAGTGTTTACAGCAGGCAGTTGTGCAGGAGGGTTGCCTCCCAGGGGTCCCTGTGGGCTATTAAAATGCTACTTGTATGGACCCAATGGCACTGCTCAAAGTCACCTGCTATTGGGACGGTGGCACGTTCCAGTCCTCAGTATTAAACTCAAGCACACAGTCAAGTAGAGGATTCACCGGTGACTTTTTTCCGTGAATAAACCCCTTTCCTGTCTTCTCCATAGTGTGATTATTACCCTAATGCCAGTGGAGTGGGATGTTGGCCTTCTTAGTGCAGTTGGCGGCTCACCGTCGTCACCTAGGTGCTGGCCACAGCTCCAGTGCTGGGTTGGCAAAGTCCTGTTTTCATTGTTGTTGAGGGACCAGCAGTCACTGGGCCGGGCTCCCCATCCTGGGTCTCTGATGCAGAGGTGGAGCACCCCAGATGGCCCTGCCTGCCTCTGGCCGCTTTTTTAAAATTTATTGATTTCACCAAGAGGTAGGGGGGAGAGAGCGTGTGCAAGAGAGAGAAACATCGATTTGTTTTTTGTTTTTTTTTTTAATCACCCAAGGATATTTTTTCCATTGCTTTTTCAGAGAGAGTGGAAGGGGAAGAGAGAGAGAGACATCAACTGGTTGCCTCCCAAACCTGCCCCAACTGGGGCTAGGGATCGAGCCTGCAACTGAGGTATGTGTCCTTGGCTGGAATTGAACCCAGGACTCTTCAGTCCACTGGCCGGTGCTCTAACCACGGAGCCACACAATCAAGGGCATGTTCCACTTTTTAATGCATTCATTGGTTGACGCCTGTGTCCTGACCAGGGATCGAACTTGCAGCCTTGGTGCATCAGGATGATGCTCCAACCAACTGACCTACCTGGCCTGGGCTGGCCACTAAAAAACTGCCCATAATTTAGAATGAGAAAGCAAGACACCCCCTCCCCCTTTTTTTTTTTAACTCTGTTCATTATTGCTTAAAGGAGTTGGTTGTCAAGCATGTTTTTTTATTTTTTACTTATTTAAATATATCTTTATTGATTTCAGAGAGAGGAAGGGAGAGGGAGAAAAAGAAACATCAATGATGAGAGTCATTGATCGGCTGCCTCCTGCACACCCCTGACTGGGGATCGAGCCCGCAACCCAGGCATGTGCCCTGACTGTGAATCAAACCCCAATCGCCTGAATCCTAGCTCAACCATTCAGCCAAGCCCAGCTGGGCAAGCATGTTTTTTTAAACTTCTCTTTGGAAGCAGCACCGCCTGCCCGACCCATACCTAGGTTTGCTGGGCCGCCGTGAGCAGGGGCAGGGGCCACAGGGAGCCTGAGCTCAGTGTTCATGCACCTTAGCTGAGTGAGGATATTGGAGGAAAACCCTTGTTTTCATGGATCAAGGTTTTTCCATTCTTGAGATTCAGATTTAAAACTTCTGGAGAGAAATATTAAAATAATTTTTAAAGGTCGAGACTCACATCTCCCCAGCCCTATGGAGACAGAGGCCCCTGCAGCTGTGGGGGAAAGGGCTCTGCAGGGTGCTTTCTGCCTGTGTCTTTGTATTTCTTCCCTGGGACTCTGCCCTGTGGGTAGTGCTGCTCCCAACAAGTCCACAGGGGCCTGGGCTCAGCCCTGCACCTGGAGCAGAGTCTAGGATGGCCCGAGGGGCCTGAGTCCCTCAGACTATGGAGAAGCAGGTCTGGTGGGACCCCAGGGGCTTGCTGGTCCCCCAGTGAGATGGGCACATGGGTGTACAGGGCAGCCGCTTCTCAGATGACTGGACGCTGTCGGAGCAGCTGGGCTGTGGGCTCTGGTTGAAGAAATCCTGTACCTCACACACCTGGAAACAGCAGAAGTCTGGCCTTGGTGGCCAGCACCCCTTCAGACATGAAGCACAGAAGCCTGGCAGCCTCCACAGGAGTCTGAGGCCATGGCTGCCCAGCTTCTCCTTCCTGCACCCGGACTAGGAGCTCAGGAGCCGCCAGCTGGCGCTAAACCTAGATCCACTCCGTCCCTCCTGCGTTGCCATCTGCCATGCTCTCAAAGTGGCAGCGGCTGATAACGGGTCTTGGGGCCTGGCGGCTGTTGGAATGTCCCCCAGAGTGGCCTTCCCTGCACACGGTCCCCATGGGAACTGAGGGGCTGTTTTAAGTCAAATGGGCCCCAAAGAAGTGGGGAGTGTCTGCCCCAGTTGACAGGGACAGACCCCAGCCCCCCCCCCCCC